CTCTCTTTCTGGGAAGCTAGCTGAGGAAAAAAGGGTGCCCTGCCCATTTGCACTTTCATCTCTCCCCAGCTTCCGAGCTCACAGGGAGGGAAGCGGTTCTCACCCAGGTGCTTCACGCTCATGTGACATTTCACATTTCAGGGCATGTGGCCTTTGCTGGCAGGTGGAGGTTAGCCAAATCTAGTGTCTTTCCAAGAGTTTCTGAGCCCACCTACGTTCTATTGTAGCCCATAGGCTCTGGGCGTTCCCACCGCGGGTAAATCCAGCCTGCCTGTGACAAATAACACAGTTGGGCAGCAGGACAGGTTTCAGAGCTCGCTGGCCAGAGATCTGGATCCTGCTGTAGTTTGTTTCGTTGGCATCCAGGAAAAACTGGAGCTATGAACTGGGCACTTTTGAAGATCTGCTCCCCCCTGCTCCCAACCAGCACTTTAAGGATTAAAAAGCTTGTGGCCATCCAGGCCTTGCCAAATGCTTTGGCCAGCCCAGGTGTGGGAAACCACCTGCTAATGAGGCCAAAAAACCACTTCAGAGCAGAGATCGGCTAGGCATGAAAGTCAAGCCATTCCCAATGAGAGTTTCCGCTGCCCTCGGAACCGGATCCCCCCCGACTTCATTGTATATGCTGCTGTCATTGCAATCAGCGAGGAGGGGAAGCAGAGAGCTCCTGAGGAACGGACATCCTAATCCTCAGCATCACTGTCTCAGCACAGTAACTAACAAACGAGTTGAATGCCCGGGGCCAGAGGCTCAGCTGGTACCACTTGACATCCCTTCACTGAAGTCCCTGACTGACGACTTCAACAGCTGAAGCCCTGGCCCACAAACGCTAACGTCGCGTCACTTGGTTTGGGTCCATCAGCATCATCATTACTCAGTTGTGTTACATTAGCAGCTGGAAGCTGTACCCAAGAACAGGGCCCCATTGTACTAGGCACTGCATGCTCCGCTAGCGAGAGAGAATCTTTGCCCTGCAGAGTTTACAATGTACATAGATAAGAGAGACCAAGCGTGGGAGAAGAGGAAGATTAGTATCCCCGTTTTTACGGACGGGGCACGGAGGAGCAGCGGTGCCCAGGGTCACACAGAAAATCTCTGGCAGAGCCAGGAATTTATCCCCCTCTAGTACCTTAGCCACATGCTTTTAAGTTCAAAGCAGTAGCACACAGTGTGCTAATGTTATAACTACAGGCTCACTATCGGATATGTCCCCTATCAGGGGACTGTGTCTGGCAGAGGGATGGGACCAGATGTCTAGTAGGGCTTTTCTAGCGCTAAGGGCTGCGGTTCACCACTGAGCATCAGTCTGACAAAAAGGCCCATGAAGAATGGCCCATTAACTCCCTGCTGCCTGGACTTAGTGTACTTAGTGCATAGCATTTTTAAAAGAAATTTGAGCATGATTCAATAGAGGGTCAAAGCCACTGGGAGGAGCGAAGTGATTTCCATTGTGTGAAGCAGAATGCCGGCTCGGTCTCTGCACTGGAACCAGTATCATTGCTGGGGCTGGGGGTTTAGAAGGATATTCAGCCTAATTTCTGCATCATTTATAAGTCGAGATGTTAATACAGTGGTTAAAGGTCACCAATTGCTTGGTGCCTTGTGCTCAACTTCTATCTCCTCAGGATACTGCTTTGTCAGTTACAATCAAGGATGCCAGGAGAGCTGTTAAAGGTCACCACTGTTTCAGTGCTTGCAGAGAGGTGCCACTACAGGGCTCTGTAACCTTTAGTTAAACTGACTAGTAAACGAGACGGGAACTTCAATCAGAACCAACTGGAATTAAGTTGATTCCACCGTAGTAACGCTATGCCACAGAGACGCACTAAACCGCATTCAAATATTACTGTATTTGCATATTCCCCAGAATGCACAAGGGGAAAATATTTGATATGCTATGTTAATGCCACACGTTTGTTGACCCCTGTAGATTGCCTGCTCTGATCACCAGGGGAAAGGAGAGTAGTAAATCTATCTTAGGTGTGCATATTTGTGCATCCCGATTCCAGGGCACAATGGCTGCAATTGCAATAGCACTCAGCAAATGAACGCACGTCTTTGGCACCTGCAAACGAGGTGCACAGGTCTGAACCTCTGGGCCACGGCCCTTTGATAACTCATGGGCAGCTGAAAGACAGGTAAGGGCGAAGCGTACAGCCTAATCTATTTAATGGCCTTTTAAGTTTGCACCGCCCCTGAAACATTTCCCTCCAGCCGCAATCCAGAAACTAGCCTACTCGTTCGATGGTGGAGAGAGACAATGAAGTACAAAACAAGTTGTCCCAGCTGAGGAATGCAGAGTTTTACCTGTATCAACATCAAACCTTTGCAGGGCAAATCCTGACTCTGCCCACCTGGGCCCACAGAGCTCCAGGGGCAGGGGAGCTGGTGGGATTCTGCTGGTTGGGAATAAGTAGGATTTACAAAACTTGGGAGAGGGGTTGCACCACCAGCAGCCCACAATGCACCTCAGGGCTTTTCAAACGGCCAAGCATGCGCGTGCGCAGGGGAGGTGAACAGGCCTGAGGCTCTTGGAACAGCCTGGAGTCCAGAGCTCCCCACTCCGTGCACTGCCTGGTCCCTCCAGCTGTGCTCTGCGTTCAGGTTTGTCACGAAGGGAACCATTGCATGGGGCAAATCGACACCATTTTTAGGCTCTGCAGAGCCACTGGTCGTTACCTTCGCATCCGAGCGCCTTTGGTAATGCAAACACGCTGGCACACGTGAAATGTAGCTCCTGTGTTTATTTTAACCCTGACGCCGTCCTAGTGGACAGGACAGTAAAGTCTGCCTTGGGTGGGTTTGGTTTGTGTGTTACAATGTGTCAGGAAAAAATACCCCAAACCAAAACCCAACCCTAAGCCCGTTCTTTAGGTGAAAGTTTAAAAAGATGTTTGCTCCAGTATAAAAATACTCCCAGTCCTTTAATGATATTATTGGGTTATTATAGTGATAGGAAACTGCAGGCGGCTGCAGGCTTCCTGACCTTCAACAGCCAGCAGGAGACATCTAGAAGGAAAACAATAATCCCTGAATCTGATCAGTAGTAGATCTCAAAGCACTTTACAAAGGAAATCAATATCATTATCCCCATTTTACAGATGGGGAAACTGAGGCACAGATCAGCAAAGGGTCTTACCCATAGGCACCCAGCAGGCCAGTGGAAGAGCCAGGACTCGAACCCACATCTCTTCTGAGTCCCACTTCAGTGCTCTTCTCACTAGGCAACACTGCCTCCCAAAGTTACCTTCCAAACTATCAAAGCAGTGCATGGAGGTTTGTGCCACACGATTTCTGTTACAGGGGAAGGGCTTTAAAAGGGTACTACGTTACACAGAAACTATCTACACAGGCATACATTTTGCACAGCACAGCTAGTCAAGCTCTCTTGAACCCAGGCCTTGTCGACGCCGGGATTTCAGCCATTGGTGGAAGGCCCCAGGCACCCTTGTCCCGGGCGCTGCATGATTTGAACAGTTTACGTGCGGGTAAGCTGTGCTAGTGGGCCAATCAGAGCCCTGCAGTAGTGCAGCGGCCCCAGTGGCTGGAATCACAGCGGAGACGAGGCCGGACTCGCTTTCTGGGTGGCAGTACCATTTTTGAGGCGCCTAGGGGCAGAATCCGGAATTCTCTCCTCCTTTGCCGGACTGCGGGTTTCTCTACGCTGGAAATGCTGCCGTGTAGACGCTCACGACAGCGGTGGGAGGGGTTCTCCCATCAGCGAAGTTAATCCACTGCCCCGAGCGGTGGTAGCGAGGCGGAGGGAGGAACCCTTCCATTGATCTAGTGCTGTTCACACCAGGGCCTGGGGCGCTTTTACTACGTTGCGAAGGGATGTGGATCTTTCACACCCTGAGCGACACAGCTGGGTCGATTTAACTTTTGAGTGTAGACCCGGCCTAAGGCCAGGCAGCTGTAGTGTGTGTGTGTGTGTGTGTGTCCACCGTGAAAGGGTTAATTTGTACACGGCCCTGGTTTCCCCAAGCAGCAAGCACCAGTGTCTGGGGTCCTCAGGGTGTTGTCAGCCAGGGTGGGTTCCTTGTGTTACTACATCGGTTAGTGAGGAGAGGAAATTCCTAGATCCAGACAGGGCAGGCGTCAGCCCTCTGCAGTTCTGCAGAAATTTTCCCTTAATAAACTCTCCTTATTTTGCTAATTTGTCTCTGGACTCTTCAATATTCCAAGCACTAGAGGAGCCAGTTACTCCACGTAACCCGTTAGTGGGGCCCCTACGGTAACTCCTGTGCTTAGCACATGGGTGTTCTGGGCCAGACGCTCAGCCCTCTGCCTGGTGGGCATGGCGCCCGCAGAACAAGCCATGCCCCTGGGGACTCTCCTGACCCTGGAGAATCCAAGGGTGGTGGAAGAAGGGCAAAGCCTGTTCTCAACCACCACCAGGGAAGGCTGGCAGCAGGAGGGGCTGTGGCCAAGTGGCAGTCCCTGGGCAGCGTAACAGGAGCGAGAGGGCCGTTCCTGCTGGCACTGTTTTTGCTCGGGGCTGAAAGGGCCCTGCTCAGCCCAAGGATGGAGGAGGTGTACAGGGGCTTCGAGTCACCTTTCTCCCCTTGCCCCCAGGCCCTGCACTGAGTGCAAGGCTATCTGGCTCCAACTCAGCGCTATCTGCTGTGCAGTCAGCCCCAATTGGCGTGCTCCAGCCCTCCACTGCACTGCCTCAGTTTCCAGCCCTCTCCTTTTGCCCCTCCAGAGCCTGTGGCCTGCGCCCTCCAGCCTGGCTCAGAAATCTGGCCAATGTTTGCCTTGTTTTGCTACCCCCAAGCTGTTATAGCCCTGGGAGGCTCAGGCTGATAATCAGAGCTCCAAGGGCCCGGCCAGGAACCTCTCACAGTCTCAAGAGGAACAAACAGGCACCGTTATCCCGGGAAATGTGCATTCTCAGGCAATAAAAACCATCCTGTTCCTGGGTATCTCCATTACTGCATTGTTAGCCTGCTGGCTGGGACAGATGCAGAAATTCAGAACAACAGGATTAAAATACATAGGGGAGATTCCTCTTTATTAAGGAAAGGGGCACCTGAGTTAACTAGGTTTCTGTGGCCAGCTTCACTGGACCCTGCATGAAGACTCAGGCAAGAGAGGCACCCGACCTGGGTGTCTGTGCCCCCTAGAATGGGCACAACCCCCAAGCAATGCCAAACCCCGGTGGGCACCCATTAGAATTACTCAGTTCTTTTGCCTGTAGTTTTCAGGTCACCATAGGTCCACCGAGCCCAGTGAACTGCCTTGGACTGTGCCCAGCAGCAGCTGCTTCAGAGGAAGGTGTGAGGAGTTCTGCAGAAGGAGCAATGGGATACGCGGCCCGCAGGGAAAGTTTAACTCCCGTTAGTGACAGGTTGGCCTGAGACAGGAGGGTTTAGAGTGGGTTGATGTTTTTAGTATTTACTGTTGTGGTGTTGGATGTTCTTGTTGTGCCTCGCCATGTGCTGAGATCTGAGACAGCTGGAGGTCTCAGTGGAGGAGCACAGACCTTCCCAAGAAGGGGGCAGCTATAGATAAGGGGTTATAAGTCTGTTACATATATCTCCAAGCCATTGGGAGCTGCCAGGGTAGCTGTGTTCCTAGGGTCCCCTTCCCACATTTCGCTGATACTTTCATACAAGTTCTCGGTGGGGCAGTTCTTGGTAGACTTGTCCCTTCTCTTGGGCTTTTTCCAGTTGACATCTACTGCCTCGTAGGCCGGTTCTGGGGCTGGGTTCCTGCCATGCTCAGTCCAGGATCCATCCTTGATAGACTCATAGCAGGGCTCAGTGAGTGAGACTCGGCCCGGTGTGGACTGATACCCAACCCTGACATGTCTGAGATGGGCGGCTGGCCACCCATGTTCTCCTTGGCCCGTCTCCCCAGTGTCCATTCCTTCAGAGGGGGACGGAGCAGAGCCTTGGTGTTTCTTCTTCTTTCCAGCTTTGCACACAGTCGAGTACATTTCTTCTACCTACAAAAGAACATCTGTGGTTACTGGGAATTCCTGTACAGCAGTGGGCCCACAAAACCCGCCCGTGTATTCCTGCCTGTGACTCACGCTCTGCCCACTTCCTTTATAAAGTCACCGTATCCCACCAACAGAATGAAGGGCATCCAGGCATTTACCCAGCAAAGGTCAGTCTAGACCGGGGGTAACGGAGCCATGATACAGAAAAGGTAGAGAACGACTGATCTAGACGCAATGGGCCAAATTCAACCCTGAAGCAGCAGAGCTGTGCCCATTATGCCAGGCCTGGTTTCGCCCCAAGGCCCGGATTTCAAAGAGGTGCTACTTCTACCCGACCTGCCAGCAGGATTAACAGCGGCCCAAAGCACTTCCTGAATCATCAGCCCCTGACCCCTGTGACGGGGTATTATGTCAAGGCGCATTAACCGAAGGGCGATAGCCTAGTACTAATTCAGCAGAAGGCGCGCCCAGCTCCCCGGGACACCTTAAGCGAGGGGGCGGAGATGGGAAAAGATGCCCCCATCAGTCCTAGCCCAGATTTGTTACAGGGAATGCTGGGCAGCCGTTTCAGTCACCCTGTTCCTACCTGGGATGATCCTGGGAATTCACTTCCTTTGATTTGCCTCCCACCCTTCCCTCCGGGGAAACATCTGATCCAAGAGAAACACAAGGAGCCTCCTCCCAGAAGCCTTTAGCTGTGGTGATGGACTGACTCAGCTTCCGATATAAAGCCCTGGACAAAGTGCCCAGTGCTTCTCAGTGCCCACCACAGACCCTCCTAGGAAGGCTCCTGGTTTTCCCATTAGGACACCATCTACCGGTGAGGTTTTCAGGGTCTGAACTCAGCTAACAACCCCCTTCTCCTTTCACTATCTTCCTCTTACTCCGTGGGCAAACCCCCAAAGCTCAGATCCTAGAGGGATCCATTTCAGAGTCTTGTCCTCACCTGCCCCTTGTGATTATTTGTATTCTTCTACTGCAGGAGGGCCCGGCAGCTCCCCTCGGGGATCAGGGCCCCACAGTGCTAGCTGCTGCACAGACGCACACTAAAAAGACAGTCCCTGCCCACAGAAGTCCATGATCTAGGTTATAGCAAGAGAGCAACGTGCAACGGGGAGATGAGACGAATGGGGTGGGGGGTGACGTAACAGCAAAGTGAGTAAATTACAGCACAAAAAGCCGAGCTCCTGGAACATCCTCTGCCGAGCTGCGGTCAGTGGCAAGTACTTTGCAGGCGTCATGGCGGCAGCACAAAGGGCTGGGGGCTCTCTGCACTCCAGCCTGACAGGTCCTAGCAATGAGACTTTGGCACATGGCTATCCAGGCAGGTGCAGCATCCTCGCTGGAGGGCTGGTGGCCGTGGAACCCCCCCGCCCACTGGGCAGCAGCTCAGCCCACGTCTGGCCACACTCCAGTCTCACTTTGGGGAGGTGTTTTTCTGAAGGGGCTGGGTCTTTGGGACAGAGGGTCTGAGCAGGGAGGAGCTCTGCTGCCGTTGGGGGGATCCTTGCACGTATAATCACTTGTGTACGGCATGGCCTAGCGCCGCACGGCGGGTGGTGTAGGAACACACATGATGGTGCGTTACACCTTCAAACGCCACACCTACAAGTTCAGCATCTGCCCAGGCCCAAGCGAGCTACTGCACCGGCAGAACAGGCCCCTCTTGGCACAGTTCCCCCGGTGTGGCATGGCCAAGGGAAGGCCCGGGCCTCCCTAACGGGATGGCTGTGCTGCAGCTGGGAACGTGCCACCCAGCCCGGGTCGACAGCCAGGTGCTAGCAAGCTAAAAAGAGCTGGGCGGCAGAGGCTCAGACTAGCCACCCGAAGCTCCCCCCTCGGTGCAAACTCGCGTGGCTAGCCCATGCCGCTGCCGAAGTGCCCACACTGCTAGTTATAGTTCTCAGCGTCAGCCCCGCCACCGGCAGTCTGGCTCCCAGCTCCCAGCTCCAGTGCGGACATACCCAGAGTGTCTGCCCAGGCACATTTGGCCCCAAAAGCCAGGGGATGGGAGCTGCTGTTGATATTGTTATTTAGCTGTGGGGCTGTCAGCAAACGTCACTGGCTCTGGATGCTCCCGGGGGAGATCGAGGAGGAGATGTTGCTGGCACTCCCATCCCCCCACCGCTGGGGCTTGGGATGCTAACAATCAGCCTTTGGCTTTCTCTGAAGCTGTTAATGCTCCTTTGCCTTCTGGTCCCTGGAAATGCACAATCCTCGCCAGGGCCGGCTGGAGATGCTGCCACGGACCAGCCAGCAACAGTCCAGGAAACCCCGTCGGAAGCCACTTTTACCCACTGGCCCCTCTTGCAGGCTGCATGAGAGACTTAAAATCTGGTGACTCCAGCATTCCTGAGTTCTTAGTTCCTTGGGGGTAAGAGTTCAAACTGGTGCCTGCTTGTGTCATTGCCCGGAGCTCACTAGCTTCCCACAGTTCCACCGTTGTCTGCGGTGGAAACAATCTACCTGTCTTCTCCCTGCCAGGCTGCTGGCTCTGTCCCCTGCTGGCAGCTCTCAGCTGAGCCACGGCCAGGTCCGCGGCCATCACCCAAACTCACCAAGGGGAAGGAGCATTATCCAGATGGTGCCTGCGCTCTGAGAACATAAGGAAGGAGGAGGGAATTGGGCAAGGCTGGAAAAAGGCCTCTTGCATATCTGATATGCGCAGCCCTGCTAGGCGATCCCTCGCCATAAAAACAAACGGGGCAAATTCTGCTCTGCTCAAAGCACCTGCCACTCCACAAAGTCACCAGCGTTATCCTGGCTTACACCTGCCCTGACCTTGGCCCATTCTTTGCAGGGATCACCCTCTGCAAAACTTCAGACCTGGTGGAAATGGGAGACAAATCGACTGAAGTGAATAGATTTGCCTCTGTCCCGGGGACTGGCTTCTGAGAAGCCGGCCAGGCAGTCTCCCTGTGACTGGCTCCACTAGGGAGAACAAGCCAACCCACCTGTGCATAGTTAATTGGACAAGTCGCTGAGCTGCAGTTAGTTAGTTACGGAACACCGGGGTGCAAGGGCTCACAGGTGCCAGGCAGCCTTTCCCCCGGCCCACCCAGAACAGCTGGAAGTGAGGGGCTAGCAGAACTCGAACCCAGCCCACAAGAATCCAGACTGGGGATGACGACTGGCCCCACCATACAATTTAAGCCAGAAGGACGCACAGGGAGACTTCCCAAGTGGCTACTGCTCCCCGATTCCAGCTCTGACCCATGGCTTAGACTCTGGCTCTGACCACTAGATTAAACTGTCCCAGTCCCGACACTGGGCTGTATAAAGGGTTATGAGCGCTCAGTCAGGAGGCCCCAGGACAGAGGAAGCTCCGGGGGAGAGAGAAGCTACTCCCAGTGGTGCCACCCTGGAGAGCAGAGACATCTGCTCAGATCCCCCCAGAATGCAAAGAGAGAAAGCCCTAGAGGAGAAAGACAAAGACTCCAGTTGTACAGACGAGAGGTTGCAGAGCTCCAGGCAGTGGAGAAGCCTGGAGACTTAGAGCAGAAGGAGACGGCTTATTTACGTACCATACTTAATAAACCAGACCCCTGAAGGGGCACTTTTCACTGTATACAAGTCTCATTGAACTTACTGAAAGCTTACTAGGGGAAACCGAGGCAGACATAAGGGTGGTTCCACACTGGGCTGCCAGGGGGCACTCCTGGGATGAGTGCCTGCCACTACAGCCAGGTCTGCATCCAGCACTTCGACTCAGTCAAGCTTACGCCCACCCACCCAGCGCTGATATTTGTTAAAAAGGGCAAATATATTTCACAAAAATGTCGACAGAAACAAACGGTTTGTTCATTTAATTGAAATGTCCCACAATGTGTGTTTATTGGTGAAAAGACTGGCAATTTTCTGTGGATAAAAACATCCCCCCACCGTTTTCCAGTGGAAAACGTTTGGGGGAGGAAGAAAAACAAGGGGGAAGAGGCTGGGATTTCACCCACCAAAACACAGACGCACAGCTCAGAATGGTTGGCTGGAAAATTTTGACCAAAATTATTATTATTTTTTTTTTTTGCAAAAAGTTTTATTTTGCTGAAAAAACCCTTTCACCAACCTCTCCTCCCCCCCACCCAACTTTTGATCAGAAAGATTTTCCCCAGCTCTGCATGCAGACGTGTGCACGTGTTTAACGGAAGTGTTTTCCCTGAGTCATTCCAAGGGGTCTCGCCCTCCCAGACCAAGTTTGTGTCCCCCCCAGCCACCTGTGGAGTTGAATCCTGAGGGCCAGAGCCACAAGTTACCTAAAGCAAAGCAAAGCCTCCTGTTTCCTCCCGGGGGCTTTGGATAAGGCCCGGACTGAGCTACCCGGTGCCCCAGTGATCCCCCAAGGTGAGATCTGCCTTAGGGACTGTGGTGAACCCTTGAACCCTGCTGCACAAGTCATCCTTTGCAAGCTCCTGAACTCAGCTGATAAGCTACTCATCAGCCCAGCAGATGCCCGGTTACAACAGGGAGGACAGGATAAACTGTTCTACTTCCTTCCCGAAGCACAGGCACAATCCAGCCTAATCCAAATCCAGAGTTAATCCAAACCCCTTCTGATGTGTGGTTAAGGCAGGTCAGGTCACCAGTACAGGCTGGGGGGGTGGCACGCCTAGGAGCAGAGGATTTAATAGACCTAGAATCTTAGTCCAGTAGGCATCAGCACCAGCCCAATCAAGCTTTGTTTGAGGTGGACCTGGAATCTTCCTTAAGGAAACCTTCCAAGGGTCATCTTGCAGCTAGTCTGCACCCAGACCCCCCCAGAATGAAAGCAACAGCAACACTGGTTAAGTGTGTTCTTTAGTGGGGCAGGGAAGGTGGTGGGACTCCAGTTTAAGGGGGAAAGAAATCAAGGCCCACGTTTTCAGTACTGCATGTACATTTGCATGTGCATTTACTAAGATTGCGCATGCAATTCCCAACACTTGGGCCTTTCACAGGCACAATATTGACACTTCTGGGGCCTCCTGCTCTAGTTCCACTTAGAACTTTCTGAGAGCTTAAAAATTATCCCGAGCTTCTGGCTTCCTTCTTGCGTTCAGTTCTGTTCCCCCCTTCCACAGGAGGGACCCAATCTCCATGACAGTGGGTTTGCAAGTCGATTCCCACCTCCTTCACCTTTCTTTACTAGAGGTGATGAGTTTGGATGAATATCCTCAAACTCTGGGCTGTTCCCACACTGTATTTGCTTTGACTAGTCACTATTCATGGCGAGTGGTTGGCTGCCAAAGTCACATGCTGCCATTTCTGCTCCCTGATTGGATAACTGAAACACTTCAAATGGAAGGGGCTTGACAAACAATGAATAAATCGGTAGATTCATAGAGTTTAAGGCGAGATCCTTTACCCTGAACCTCCTGTATAACAGGGGCCAGAGAATAAAGCACTCAGCTCTTTGGGGCTTGTCAGTCCTTGTGCTCCATGTTTCTTCAGCTCCAAGCACAATGGCCCCTCTCGGTGCTATCGATAAGAAATATAACCTTTCTGCCGACATTCAGGAGGCTGGCGGGATTTGTAACCATTTCCACAGATCTCCCCGGCCACCTGAATCCTCACAAATAAAGAACAATGCGACCCCCTGGATAATGGCAAGCCAAGCCCTGGGTTTCCATTCACGACCAGGCGGCGTGTTCCTACCCACCCAGCACCGACACTGCCCGTCTCCCGTCCCCCAGCGCTGTGAGGCTCAGCGCGGGAGGAGGTGATGGATGTTACTGTACCTTCACCGCTGCGGGGTTACAGGCAGCTCCTTCCCAGCCTTCTGGGTCTGCAGGCCCCACGGAGGATTCGCCCTGTGACTCATCCTGGAGCTCTGGCTGGAAATTCTTCTTCACCTTGCGGACACAGGCGTACTCAGCCGTCACTGCCTTGTCCTCCTCGCTTAGAGGGGAAGCCTCCATCGGGGTTCCCAAGACGGGCATTGGTTGAGGCCCTTCCTGAGTCACGGCCGCACACTCGTACAGCGCCTCCAGGGCTGGTTTCAGCGGGGCTAAGAAGGACACGTTCGAGTAGGTCTGGTCAGGACTCAGGGCATCAGCCGAAGGGTTGGAATTGGGGATCTGGGGCAGCTCTCGGTGCAGCAGGATGCTGAAGCTCGAGCTATGCACGGCTCCTTCTCCATCCCCCAAAGACCCTGATGGGTAAAGGAAATCCACGCTGGCTGGTCTTTGGTCTGGGAAGAGAAGAGAAGGTGTGTGAGGAGTCCGCGCTGGAGCCAGCCAGCCCTTGTAGGGGACGCTGGCTGGCTCTTTCAATGGACTCACCAAGCAGAGTTAGAAAGATAAGTGATGATAATACCCTGCCCTTGCCAATCCCCCTTCACTAGGAAGCTCATTCACAGCGTGCAGCGAGTGTCATTGCTCATGCTAACGAGGAGGACTGGCACATGCAACGACCCCGTTGGGATACGTGTGATCGCAGGAATACACCAGCCATCCAGGAGCAGGCAACGCGGCCCTACCAGAGAGGATGTCAGGAGAACCACCACCCTGTAGCTGGAAGGCTGTGCTGCCCCGCGGGCACAGACACTATCTCCCTTTGCATCGGTGCACTCCCAGCCCTAGAGCCACCGGATCTCTCTGCACCTCAGCTCCAGCTACCGTAGAACTTTACAGCCACTCACGCTCGTCCGTGAGCTTCACCCTGTTGAGCTCATGCAGTTTAGTGTCAGATTTACTGAGCGATCGGAGCTGCATCTGCCTCAGCAACGACTGCAAAGAAAGGAGGAGACACACCAGTTAGACTCATAAGAACATAAGAGTGGCCACACTGGGTCCGACCAATGGTCCATCTAGCCCAGTGTCCTGACTTCCGACAGTGGCTGGTGCCAGCTGCTGCAGAGGGAATGAACAGAACAGAGCAATTTACAGAGTGATCCGTCCCCCGTCATCCAGTCCCAGCTTCTGGCAATCAGAGGATTAGGGACACCCAGAGCATGGGATTGCATCCCTGACCATCTTTGCTGATAGCCACCGATGGGCCTATCCTCCATCAACTTATCTAATTCTTTTTTGAACCCAGTTATACTTTTAGCCTTCACAACATCCCCTGGCAGTGAGTTCCACAGGTTAATTGTGTGCTGTGGGGCGAAGTACTTCCTTTTGCTTGTATTAAACCTGCTGCCTATTCATTTCATTAGGTGACCCCTGGCTCCTGTCTTATGTGAAGGGGTAAACAACACTTCTTTGCACATTTTCTCCACACCATTCATGATCGTATAGACCTCGATTATGTCTCCCCTCAGTCATCTCTTTTCCAAGCTGAACAGTCCCAGTCTTTTTAATCTCTCCTCATATGGAAGCTGATCCACACCCCTAAACAGTTTTGTTGCCCTTCTCTGTATTTTTTCCAATTCTAATATATCTTTTTTAGATGGGGAGCCCAGAACTGCACATAACATTCGAGGGGCGAATTTATACCGTGTCATTATGAAATTTTCTGTCTTATTATCGGTCCCTTTCCTAACGCTTCCTAATGTTCTGTTCGCTTTTTTGACTGCCGCTGCCCATCGAGCAGACGTTTGCAGAGACCTAGCCACGATGACGCCAAGATCTCTGAGCGGTAACCGCTCGTTTAGACCCAGCATTGTGTATGTGTCGCTGGGACGATGTTTTCCAATGTGCAGTACTTTGCATTTACCAACCCTGCGGCCGTTTTGTGGGATCCCTCACAATGGGAGAGGGGGCACCGTGCCCTACAGCCAGGCTGCACTGCCCCAGGCCCTCCCCAAATGGCTCCGCCCAGCAAGCCTGCTCCAGCCGCCTAATGCCGTGCTGGTGAACTTTACCTTCTGATTTACGCACATCCAGCACTAGCTCGGGCTCAGCGCCCTCTCCCCGTCACGGAATACGCTTGGTGGAGGCCTGTCCCTGCTGTTTAACGAGCACTCCAGCCCCCTGCTGCTCGTGTTTTTGAATTATTGCCTCTGAACAAACTCACTGAGTTTTCCAGTGCATCTCTGGACACCAAAATATACTGCTTCGGCTAGAACCTGGCTCCCGGCTCAGCTGGTCCCTCCCAGAGCAGCATCCCAGTCACCTTTCTACAGGCTGTCCCAAGGATCCCCCTTCCGACGGGCTGCTCACTCCAGGCAGAGAAGACTCGCTCCACCTTCCACCTCAACAGCTCTTCCCCAGAGTCTGCCAGACAGTCCTAGCTAGGTGCTGCGCACCCCCAATTCCCACAGAGCCAGGAGGAGGCGCTCAGTGCAGGATGGGGCTCTAAGACAGCTCATTTCTAGAGCTTTTCCTGCAACAGCTGCTGTCCAGGAGCCGGCCATCCCGGCCCTTTCCTCAGGCAGTGCCGCCGGGCTCCCCCCAGGCCAGCTCCCACTGGTTGTTGCGTGGCTTTGGGGCCGTTAGCTTATCTAGCCAATGGGCGCACTTACCACATCTACCAGCTTCACCCCGTCCGGTGGGACCACCTTCTTCCTAGCTTTCCTGCAAGGAGAGGGATTAAGCCAAAGGTTGGATGGTGGCAAAAGGTCCGCCAGCAAGCACCAGGTGAGAAGAGCTCTCCTGTGGCCTGGAGGGCAACATTTTCAAACGTGATCAGCGTTTCTGGGGGCCCAAGTGGAGAGGCCTCCAACAGGCCCGATTTTCAGCCTGCCCCTGGGAATCAGGCCCCAGTGACACATCTCTAGTTGGGCACCCAAAACCACAGATCACTTTCTAAAGCCTCGGCTTTAACATATTGTCTCTGTGGAGCACTGGTGACTACTAATCACCCGAGGAATCTGCTTCTCACAGCTAGCCCAGCGGATCCAGGTGTACTGTATCCAGGGTCTTACACCGTGCCCATCACTGTTATATCTGAGGCCACGTTTCCTACTGCAGTACAGTGGTCATGATCCTAATGAGAGCACCGTCAGCGAGCGCTCTCTGCTTCCTGAGACTACTCAGTGCATCGTACAGCTGCGCGGATCAGTCACACGAACACACCACATCCTGCCTGCGCGGGCACCAGCTGCAGCATGCCCGTGACATGGTATCCTGTCGGCACTGCACAGCTCCTAAGCTTGTACAACACGGTGCATCGTGTTTGTGCCCGCTTCGCTGCACCTGTGCCCGGAAGCCTGCCCGCCACTCTGCATCCACGCCCACACGCTCCCGTGAGCACGCCCACCGCTCCGGATCCACTGTGCCCATACACCCCTGCGACTGTCCTGCCTCGCATCTTTCCAGTGCCCCGGCTAGCCAGGCCTGGACACTGTGGGAGGTGGCACGCCCAGTCCCTGCGCCTCCTGCAGCACCGCTCTCCTAAGGGCAGCTCCCACTTGGCCCCCCTTCCCCCCTGCACGTCTGGGCTCTCCGACAGCCTGGTGCTGCAGGGTGTCCTGCCTGCTCCTGCCGCGCTCGGCGTGGGAATCCTGCCCACTCCCTTTACCTTGACAAGACCTTCGACGTGCTCAGTTGCATCTAACCCTGATGGAAACCTCAAGGCTCCCTCTTCGAAGGGCCTGGCATCTCCGCAGCTGTGCCGTGCCCTCCTTACACATCAGCCTATGGGAAGTGCTTAATGAGGATCTGGTGGGACTGACACACGCCTCCAGGCCCTGGCAGCTTTCCTGGGCTCATGCTGCTGCCAAGGGGCGGAGGGGTGTTGCTGGGAGCTTAGCTGCGATCAGGCTCCTGCCCAGCCAGCCCCTGCCCAGCCGGGATCACTTCCCCCTTGCATTTCAGGCTCCCCTAACCTCCCTGCTCTGAATCTCTGTGGTGGCATAAGGGCCAATTCCTCCTATTAGCCGCACCCCACCCACATGGCCTGGTGACACTGGGAGCAACGGCCCAACCCCACCTCCAGTGGGCAGCCCTTTGTCCTAAGCCTCCCTAGGCCCTTCCCAGGACAATCCGGTCTGGCCTTTAGTTCAAGCCCCGCCTCTGCAAGGAGACAGATCTTTTCCAGTCCCTTGGTGGGGGGTTAAGTCAGGTCTCACTGTACTTAGCCGGGACAGATACATCCAGCCCCCTTTTTACGACAGCGAGGGGCAGCTGCTCTGTCAGGGAAGTGCTGGGGCCTGGAGACCAGGCATCAGAGAAGCATGGGGAGAGCGCAGTCGTAGCTGAGAGTACAGGGCTGATTCTGATCCCATCCCCGCCTTCTGCAGGGCTGGGAGTTGCTCTGGGAACCGGGAGCCTGGCTGGGCTTTGTGGCTTGTGGTTTGGGTTGGCTGGAAGCAGCAGTCAGTTTGGGAGATACCGGCCTCTCCCTAGCCTGTGACTCATGTGTTTGCAGCCAGTGCAGCGCTGGCTTGGAGCTTTGTTCCTGCTTTGATGCTGGGGAACAAACCTGACAGGGATAGTCCTTGGTGGAGGGGAGAGAAGTGAAGCAGGAGGGTGGGAGCTTTTGGAATCTAGCTGCATGTCTGCAGCTGGGGGTTTCATCCCAGGCAACTGAAATCTGGGCACTGGGGTCCCCCCACTCCTGAGCTACAGGGATAGGTGGGTATCCACACAGCATCAGCTAAGCTCCCACAGCCTTGCTCCAACATGCACGGCGCCACGGTTGGTTGCATTTGAGGGACAGCGGGACTTGGGGGTGGGGGAGAGGGGCCAACATACAGACTGCCACTACCTAAGCCAAAGGAGATCCATGTATGAATTAACCCTTCCATGACCCATGCAAAACTCCTGAGGTTTGCTCTACCCTGACTCACGGTTTACGCTGTGAGAGGGAGGCTCAGCCATGTACCTTCTGCAGGCAGCACACAGGGCTGAGAGGAAGACCAGGACACCAAGCAACGCCAGTCCCAGGGCGGCAGTGAAGGGGGGCAGATGGGGCCCAGCCATCCTTTCACCACGGTCTGGAGCCACTTCAGAAATCCACTTCACACGGAGATCTGTGGGAAGAGAACATGGGTCATTAGTGCACCCTAAGGAGAATGCAGAGGGCATGCCATCTAATGTCCCCGTCTCGGGCAGGGGATCACGCAAACAAGGAAAGTAATAGTGCCATGCTTAAAAATGTTATTAAAGCTAATGTTAAAAAAATTATAGAATAGATAGGCTGGGAAAAGAGTGACTGTACATCTGGGTAGAGTGCTTAGATTATCCACAAATACAGACGTGCATCCGACGAAGTGGGTATTCACCCACGAAAGCTCATGCTCCAATACGTCTGTTAGTCTATCAGGTGCCACAGGACTCTTTGCTGCTTTCACAAATACAGAGTTAGTTTTTAAAAGTCACATCAGACATAGAGCCCATAATCAGCAATAACCCACATTTCGGTGAATAGATTTAACAATACAGTTTAGATACTGGAATCTGAATACTCGGGTACATCACTCATGAGAAGTTGGTTGTGGAAAGCAAACTATCTCAACGAGTGGAGACCATCCCTCAGTCATTGAGAATTAGGTAGGTTGTCCATTTAGAGCCAGGTCTGACGGACTGAGCATGATGCCAGGCCCCAGCAACTCCTGTCCTCCTGTCTATCCCAAGCACAAAACCAAGCAGTTGGCTGGCACGTCTTGAGCTGGCAGCAATGTATCCACGCTCCATAGCCCAGCCCAGGATTCAGGCACCGACTGGCCCAGCGGGTCGCATTACCTGGGCCAAGGGTTTTAGCTGAATGCAGCTACAACAGCATCTTCCCAGCGTGGATGGGAAGCCACAATCCTTGCAGCCGATCTCCTGCTCTTCCTAAGTCCGCTTCCCAAAGCGGCGCCTCTCCTGCTGCAGCTCGTGTGGTTAGGAAGTTTAGTTCGACAGCAGCACAGACGTGGAGTCCAACAAAAATGGACCAAACCCCAGCACAGTGCGCGGCTCCGCCCTGCAGGTAGGTGCTAACCGCTCAATAGCCACCTAAAGGATCTGCCTCGCGAATTACACTTTGGCAACCCGCACCCAGCTTGTCCTGCCAATGAAGTCTCCTAGAATGGAACTGCTGAAATTCATATGATTTGCCGCTAGGGGGAGCCAATAAGGAAGAAAAAGCAGCGGTTGTCAATGGACGCTTTGAGCCAAAGCATTCTTGTGGGCTGCCACTGTCTTCAGATCCGGCCTGATTTCCCCTTTTCCTAGACACATGCTGAATGGCTGGAGTAAACAGATCTCCCTCCTTGCTGAGTTTCTAGGGCTCCGGGGCTGTATCTTGTACGCACGCTCTCGCAAACGTCCTGTGGGGCCGAGCGGGCCGTGAGCCTGTGAGCTCCCAGGCAAAGGTGTTTTGGGGGATGGATGCCGTTCCTCACCTGGAAGGCAGAGTTGCAGCTCAGCAAGAGGGCTCCTTCTTCCTTGCTGCCGCTTTGCACCAAGCCAGGGGAGAATGCCACGCAGCCGTTCCTGGCACGGCCCAGCCAGGTGGATTCCGGCATCGCTAATTCTCACCGTTCTAGCACGAGTCTGGCTCGAGTTGGTGCTTTTCTTGAAGCCCCAGCTCCTGGGAGCATCATGTTCTTAGGTGCCAATCGCAGCTTCCACTTAAAAGAAAAAGTTCCTAGCCCACATGGTTGCCTAGAAACACTGAAGAACATGACCCAAGTGCTCCCTAAGGACTCAAACCGCACGAGGCCAAGGAAAAGGACCCCAAATATATTCTTTTTCAAAATCTTGTCATTTTTAAGCCACTCTTATGATTTCTGGGCACCTGACACCTGATCTTTGAATGCTTGGGGCTGCCAATACTGGGATCCCAACTATAAGCCGGGGTCTAATGATACTGGGCCCAAGTGGGCATGACACCACTGAATTCTGGAGCCATGGCACTTTGTCCTGGAGCCAGCCCGATGCTGGAGTAATGGCACCTGCTTGGAAGAAAGGAAGGGAGGGAAAAGAAGAGAAAAAGATGGGGGCCCAGAGCATAAGATGGCATTTGAACTCTGACCCACCTAATGCAGCAGAAGCAGAAAGGGAGGGGGGAGGGAAAGTTTCAGTCGGGCCCGTCAGCGAGTTCTTAACAGAGCCAGCGCAGGGGTGATGTGCTTGGAAATGAATATGGAGTCAGATCAGCCTGGTATTTACACAGAGCGGGGCTAAGAACAGGGCATCTGCTCTGCATTCAAGCGGGCATGGGAGTTGCAGGCTGAATCCAGACTGGGATTCAGGGTCCATGGTGCTTCTGTCCCACAAGCTATTCTGGTACCCACTGGTGGAAACCTTGCAAGATTGTCTGTTCTCGTGAGATTTCTCCTTAGGTCCAAATCTCCCAAGAATGGCTGTTCAGAACCTGAGATCCCAGTGGGTAACAAGCCCCTCCTGGTTCTGATCCGAAACTAAAGGTATAACGGCGTGGAGGAGAGACTCTGATCCGGAGAGTCAGATCCACTTGAAATTCAGGGAGCTTCAGCCGTGAGGTTCTGGGCGGGGCCCAGCTTTAGGTTTAGATTCAACCTAAAATGAGAGGCAGCCCCCAAGCCTGAAATCCCCAGCCTGGGTATTGGGTCCATGCAAAGTTGGGAGCCTCAGTGTAGCAAAAAATGTGTGAGGGAGAGTTGGGTTGGCATTAAGGATTGCCATGGGAAGGGGGCTATCCTGGGAGCTCCCAGTCGCAGTCCCAGAGCACCCGACCTTGGTCTGGTGGTTGCATCGCCTATCCCGCCCTGCAATCCCATTGTCCTTCCTCGGAAGGACACAGCTCGTACCCCCGTGTGCCCGCTGCCGGACTCGGCCAGGACATCACAGAAACCCTCTGCCATTAACAGCCTGCCTGCACTAGCCCAGCTACCACACTGTCACACGCTCCCTCCGGGGGACATGGCAGATGGAGTCAGCCCATTAGGACGTGGAAGGGGCGCTCTGGCACTGGAACCAGGTGCCCCAACGTGCGCATATGACTTGTGTGGACAGGCCTGACAAGACCAAGTCCAGCTGGGGCCAGGGCCTATCTGCAAGACTCCTTCGTGCGTCCAGGTCACCCACCCACTCCTTCCCCACGCCCTCCCCCCACTCACCACTCTGGCCGGCACATCGAGGCCCTGGTCTCGCGGCTCCGGGGACGGGGTGGCGAGTGGAAATGCTGTGCCCACTGTCAGAGAGCTCGGCTGCCGCACATTTCCACGGCCTCTCGCAGAAGCAGGCTCGAGTTGTGGGGTGAGTAACAATGGGAAGGCAAACAGGCTCTGTGTCAGCACACAGGAAACCATAAGGGCTTCACAGTCAGTCGCACCGCCTGCCTCCCACAGCCCAGCCAACCACCAGACCTACTTTAGCAGCTGTGTACAGTGGGAGTGGCTCTGGTATTCTCCTTGGGGCCTGATCCTGTGGCCTCAGCAGGCACTGCCCCCTCCCAGGCTCAGGACCTTAAGAAGTTAAGCTCTGTAGAGCAGCAGCTTGCCAGTGACATGAGTCCTATAGGCAAACAAACCCCCAGATTCAGAGCTGGTGTGAGCGGATGCAATGGCGCTTGCTTCCATAGAGTTAAAGCCGGTTTAACGCCATCGCAGCATCACGGACACCAGCTCGGAGTGTGGCCCCATGGCTTGGAGACCACGTCGGGCCAGAGGGAGAAAGCAGCCCCTCTCTGGTCTTGGATATTACATTGAGAGCTGATCCTTGCTGAGGTCAGAAGGGGGCTTATAAGGAAGGGAGAACAAACTCATGTGGGACAAAATGAAGGGGAAGGGATAGCTCAGTGGTTTGAGCATTGGCCTGCTAAACCCAGGGTTATGAGCTCAATCCTTGAGGGGGCCACTTAAGGTTCTGGGGCTAAATCAGTATTTGGTCCTGCTAGTGAAGGCAGGGGGCTGGACTCAATGACCTTTTGGGGTCCCTTCCAGCTCCATGAGATAGGTATATCTCCATATATTGGGGGGGGGGGGAAGAGCAGGGCTGCAGGCTCACCCCCCTTTGCCCTAGATATGCAGCCGGTTTTGAACCTCAGCCCGCCCTGTGTGTTATTTCAGAATCCAGTGCTGTCCTGGTGTGGCCTTTTTCCACTTCCCATGCACGCTAAGTCACCACTGTGTGAGCCCAGCCGCATCCTGTGCACAAGGTATGGCCCTGACGACTGGTTCAGATGCTATCTGTGCCCAGGGGACCCAATAACCAGGAGGGGGTTTTTTGGAGAGGACTGGCCAGCCGTTCCTCTTCCTGGAAAAGGCAGAGACAAGACGCAGCCTCTGCTGGCTGGATTCTCAGCCCCTGCACACATCACATCTGGTACTGGAAACAAATTCCTTTCCTGGCCCGGCCTCTGCTAATTTCCCCTGGCTGAGGCAGCTTGCCCAGCCCCTGCTGGCCTGAGGCGTGAGACCAGACTGGGGCTTCAGCCCCCGGCCATCCTCACTGGCAGCACAGGGCACCAACCAGCATGAGGTCTGTCCTGGGTTGTAGCAAAAGTCACACGACTGGGGCGGTGCTGACTTATGGGGCTGTGGCGCAGCCAGATTGCTCACGGGAGCTCCTTAGGCCTGCAAACCAGTGGCTGCATCTAGCTCCACCCACAGTCCGCAGACAGACCCACACTGAGCAGTACCCTGCTCCCACCTGCCCCCTTCAGAGGGGCTGAGTGCTTCCACGCAGCCGCGCTGGCCAGCTGGCGCCTCCCATGGCACACAGCCAGGCTTCAGGCAGTGCACTGGGGGCAAGTTTCGGCTGCTGTCCCTTCCTGCCCAAGCTGCCTGAGCGAGTGGGAGAGGACTGGGGGCGTTCATCACATGGCACAGGGCGTGTGGGATGTTCTCCCATCCAGAGGGCTAGGAGGGAGGAGTGGCCAGGCTGGGAGAAGAGCCATCTTAGAACCTGCTTGAGCCTGACCATCGCCTTACAGCCCTGTTCACGAGCAGGCTTGGAACCTGGCCCACCCACACGAGTAGGAGCCAGGTGTTAAACATGGCATATAGCGACTCAGCCACGTGAGCAGCACAGTAACAAACTGTAGTGCTGCTGACCCCTTTAA